CAAAGCATGAATGATCAGAAGGAATCTTTGTTGGAATCAGAGGGCTGTAAAGAAATTGCAAAAGATCAATCCCAATTAGCTGGGCTTAAAAGAGTACTCAAAAGATTTGTAGGTGTGGAGGTAGTTGAAAGAAAAGGACAGGAGGAAGAGGGAGTGGTGTTGAGTGAGGTAATACTATAGGGAGTTGTCAATAAGGATGCAGAGTATACTGTAATAAGGGAGGAGGGGGAGAGGAAGCAATGTCTTCTGAAGGCTAGGTAATGACCTGAAATGGACTGGGCTGACAGTAGCTATCAAGGAGGGAGAAGTAGTAGAAGTGTTCAGAGTCATGATCAAAATAGAGCCTGGGGTCAGGGAACCAAAAAAGATAATGTCAATGGGGCTACTTGATAAAGGGGCAAGCCTCAATGCTCCTTATTAGGGTACAAAATCATCACGGACCAGAGTAAGCCTGGTGTATATGGGGAAGAGAAATGGTTTACACCTCAAGGTCCCTATGAGAGATATGGGCTAAATAACTAAATGGAAATACCAAGCCCATGGCTAGATGAGGCCATTCAGAACTGACCTGCAGCCAGACTTTTATCCTTTCAACATGGCTCTTATATCTTGGGAAGTGGACAGAAGAAGGGGGTTGGAGAGGAAGAAGTAAAAAGAAAGGGGGAGAAGAAAATTGGTTGAGTCAAGGGCTAAGGCCCAAGGTAGGGGAGAAGCCCATCATTAGGCTTTAGAATCAATTCAATTCATGAAGAATCATTTGACTTGAGTCATTTTGAATCGGCATAGTTCCAACCGACTTGATTCTGATCAACACATCATTCAGTACCAAGGCAGCCTTCGAGGAGTATGGACTTATTGAATATGTTTGACAAAATACCCTTTTGTTCATTATAAATAGCATGTAAAGTTGGGGTAATGTATCAAAGTGCCCTGTATTGAAAACTTTGAAATAGACCAAAATACACCACAGGAAATTTGCAGTTTTGCATAGTATTACATTCACTTATATACTGAGAAAGTATTTGTTTTGTATCTTCAACACACAACTTGCAATTTGGAAATGTAGCATGGACCTTTTTACAATCATTTACATTATCTATTCATTTACTGAAAAAAATGTCGTGTCATCTAAGGTCATAAAGTGGTGTATTTGAAATATAGCAATAGGGTGGGGTGAGTAAGAATTTTTTTTTGTTCACAAGGCGATGTTTGTGGATCTCCAAAAAGGTCACTGGTCAAGACAAACAAATGTGCCAGACATCAGAGGTCACACAGCATTATGACAAAGTATTGCAGCAAAAAGGGTAAAAGTGAGTTAGCGACTAGGGTAAGTGGACAGAAGAGGGGATGAAGAAGAGATCAAGCAAAATTAGTTGGCTTTGTTTGTGCCTCTTAAGCCCCCACCACCTGCATTGTCTAATTCTTATTTGTACTTTTCTCTTAGAGAATGTTAATGAATTGCTTTTGGTTCCTTAATAGGACTGGCACGAGACTAGGTAACTAATATGGAGGTTAGCAGGTGTAAAGGTATTCTTCGGAAAGGGATCAATATTTCGATTTTGATTCACAGGATCACTAGGGTTATAAATAGTACGTCGTTCTTGCACTAAACTGAAGAGGAGTTCCACTTGCATGATGCTTCCTGCTCGGCTGATTCGCCTTGACTGATGAAAAAATGGGACCGCGCGCATCAGTGATTCTGAATCGCCATGATTTGAATTGACTCGATTCGCTTGGTGTAAACAATTCCATTGAATTTAACATGGCGAATCAAGACAAATCGTGAATTGGGATGATTCTCCATGAATTGAATTGAATCGAATTGCTTGGAGTAAACGCAGCCTTAGACACCATCTCTTAAGCCACTCCATGATATCAACAGGCAAGGGATTGGTTGGTTCAGTATACTAAACAATCACTTCTATCAACAATGCACACAAAATATAATTTTGGAACTTAATGATCAAAGTCTACAATATGAGACTTGAAAATTTGTGACATCCACTGGAAATTGGGTACAATTTGTTTTGTTCTCAACGGAGTGTGCCTAAACATATGACAAACATCTTTTAAGAGCTAAATATATTGATAATGTTCATTTAATATCAGTTAACACCAATTTCAAGAACAGCATTCAATTTACTAATCCGTGCATTTTTAAGGGGATATTGTATATAAAGAAGTCTTAACATTGAAGCATACATTGATAAGTTTGGGACAGACTATCTTCCATCAAATCATAAAAAAAGAAAATGTGTATTCTTTACATAATTTCTCTTGTATGACATCCTTTAATTAGCAGCCAAACTAATTCTTGACATGTGATAAGGCACTAAAACTATATGGGCCTCTATAATGACATTTGAAAATGCTACCTATTAAATAACTAAATAAATTAATAGCTTCATGAATGTTGTGTTGATAATAATAAAATACATAAACAATAAGAACCTATCATTATTTCATTATCTATGAATTCCTCAAACATCACCATTGTAATTTAATATGAAGTGCATCTATAATTGATCTTACAGTAACTTCTACATAATGTGTGGCACTGCCCAATGATGAGTAGTGCAATATCATTTTAGCAATATTGCTATTCATAGAAATAGTGAATGTTTTGATTATTGCACATATCTATTTTACAACTAATAATACTGTTTTACATATTCTTCATACTAATATAATTACAATAGCTCTTTTGTCTATGAATGGTCCTACAGTAAAGAGGACCCACCATTTCATAACACAAAGTAGATAAAAGGAGGAAGTATCTGAGAACAGATTAATGTTAGGATAGGCAAGATAAGGCCAGCCTACTATATAGATGGATAAAGTTCGGTAAGCTATACTATGCAACATCTGCACTGGCAGCCAGCTGAAACAAGTAGACTGAAACAAGAATTTTATAACAGTATAGCCTATAGCTGTCTGGTAACAAAACAGTGTAGGCAAGTGCAATAAGATCTTGATTTTTTACTTTTATTTCATATTTTAGAAGAGATCCATTGGCACTGGAACTCACACCCACTGGTGTAGCTTTCATGGCAAGCTGCACAATAAAAATGAATCTCTAAACAAACTGTACAGTGGAAGGATGATCTTATGGCACTCTTCACTAACCAACTGAAATTCAAGCAAAGATATTTCTCTTGAATGACAGCTCTTAATTAGCAGTCAAACTAAATCTTGACATGTGATAACCAAAACTATATGTGCCTATATAATGACATTATTAAACAACTAAATAAATAAAAAGCTTCATGAATATTGAGTGGGTAATAATAATAATAATAATAATAATAATAATAATAATAATAATAATAATAATAATAATAATAATAATAATAATAATAATAATAAAAATAATAATAATAATAATAATAATAATTGCAATCATAATCATAACAATAACAATAATAATAATAATAATAATAATAATAATAATAATAATAATGCTTTCTAAGAAAATTAAAAGTATAGTTTTGTAAATGGCAAAGTGACTTTCATGATGGACAGTAGCTGGAGGGAATCTATAAATTAACCCAATTGATCCTGGTAACACAACTGTCATGTCATGAAAAAATCAGACTAAGAGGTAGATGAAAGTAATATGCCGTGATAGAAAAATCTGGAGAAAGGGCCAGGGTGGTTTGAAATATGCTTTGATGGAAAAATCTGTAGTCATGTAATCATGTAGCCATGAGTACACAAAGCTCTTGGAGGAAGGAATTGAATATTACGCACACACAAAAGTCCCTTTTTGTTATTGCACAGTAATGTAGTCTACCTAGATAGATGATATGGAATCTACACAAGGAAAAAAGAGTCTATTACCATCTTGATGTAGCACATCATATGACAAATATAGATACTGGAAAATTGCAAAAAAGCAAAAAAGGCTTCTGTAAGGAGTCTTAATACCAAACACAAGTATGGGTGAACTATGCAAGCCACTCACACAGGAAAGTTTTCATCATTTGAGTAAGACCCCAGATTTTAGTAAATATCTAGAATAACTTCACAAAACCAAACTCAATGATTTTGGTATCAATGGCTTCCTCTCACTCTCTACTATCCAAATATATCATAATAATGCTGCAGAAACCCTCCATTACCCACAATTTTGGCCCCAGTAGCAGGGGAGGGCATGAAAAGTACCAGGAAAATTGCAGGGTTAATTATAAATAGAATACAGTAAACTTATAACTATAGTAATATACAATGAATAAGTCACTGCACTGTGTTAAGCAGGGGACATTGTCCCCCCTCCAACCCTGCCCTGGAATCTAACATGTTCGTCCCACATGTAAGTTGTCTTCACCGAGGTGAAGCAAATGTGTCCCAGGGGGTGTTGTGGGGCAGATCTCCCCATCAACCTCTCCTGCAGTTGGGCACACCTAATAAAGGGAACTGAAATCAATTTGTGACATGGAGTTGGTGCCTTATTCTCTGGCAACTGTATTCCTATCATAAGGAATTACCAAAAAACACTTCCATACTTAGGTTGGGGTCAAAATTGTTGGGCTTCTTTACTAATAAAGGGAGTTTCATGTGGAGTGGAGAACACAGTTGGTGCTATCAAAAAAATACTTCCTTATGAAATTTATTATCTGCAAATGACAATAAATAAATTAATAACAGCTATCAGCCTAACGTATTCTGAGTCTTAGCTAAATATTTCAAGTCAATATTATGTTGAATTGTTTGCAACCCTTTAGTTTATGAATTCTTTAGCATCATTTCCAACACGTGAAAGGAGAAAAGCTGGACATGGTGCCTGCTTGATTTCTGATATAATTATTGTGGTGGTATGAGCATAATCAAACACACTTGGACACACAAGTATAGACTTTGAAAGGAATACGTACATAATATTTGTTAGTGAATACGTTCTCGTAGTAAACGGTGTTAAGTAAAAAAAAAAAGGGGGGGGGACGCCTACACTGAATGCCCCATCAATTGCAGCAGTACCTCCTCCGCTCCGAGCCTGAGCC